AAGAGTTTTATAACCCTTACTGTTAAACTTATCATCCATTTCAAGTTAACTTTTGTGTATTGTGTGGGGAAGGGAACCAATTTCATTCTTTTGAATGTAGATACCCAGTTGCCTCAGTATCACTTTTTGAAGACGTCTCTCCCTATTTAATTGTCTTGGCACCTTTGTTGAACTAAGATCCACTCTGACTAATTTTTGAATATGGTGAGAGGTGTGGATGAAAATTCTTTTATCTTTTCTTTTCTTCTTCCTTCCTTCTTTCCTTCCTTGCGTGCTCTCTCTGTCTCTCTCTCTTTCTTGTCACACTGATAGTCAATTGTTCTAGCACCATTGTTGAGGATCTATTCTTCTTCCATGGACTTGCCTTTGCAACTTTGTCAATAATAAAGTTTCCATAAATATGTAGTTCTAATTCTGGATCATCTATTCTGTGCCACTGATCTGTCTGTCTTTATACCAACTCACACTGTCTTGTTTAAAGCAACTTTACAAGCCTTAAAATCAAGGAGTGTACATCCTGCAACTTTGTTCTTCTTTTCCAAGTTGATTTGATATTCTAGGTCTTTTTCGTTTTCATATGAATTTTAGGATCAGCTTGTCAATTTCAACAAGAAAAGTCTATTCGGATTTTGATGGAGAGGGCATTGCTCTATGGAGCAAATGGGGAGAATTGATATCTTAACAACATTCAGCCTTCTGACTCATAGGCAGTATGTCCCTGTATTTATCTTAGTATTTCTTGATTTATCTGAGCATTGTTTTATAGCTTTCAATGTACAAGCCTTCTATATATTTTATCAGATTTATCCCAAAATATTTCATATTTTGGAAATATGAAACGTTTTGTAAACACATTTTTTCGATTTCATTTTCCAGTTGTTCACTGCTAGTAAATAGAAATACAATTAGTTTTATTGTGTTTTCACCTTATATCCTGCAACCTTGCTGCTAAACTCAGTTATTAGTTCCAGCAGCTTTTTGGTAGGTTCTACAGGATTTTTTTTTAACATGGACTATTCATGTTTATGTCAATAGAATCTTACTTCTTTCTTTCCGAACTGAATGCCTTTCATTTCTTTTCTTGCCTTATTAAACTGGCTAAAACCACCACTACGATGTTGAGTAGAAGTGGTGAGAGTGGATATTGTTGTCTTGTTCCCAGTCTTGGGCAGAAAGGTAATCAGCCTTTCCCCACCAAGTGTGATATTAGCTGGAGGTTTGCTTGCTTGTTTGTTTTTGTAGATGCCCTTTCTCAAGCCGAGAAAGTTTCTTTCCATCTCAGTTTGCTGGCAGCTTTTTGGTTTTTTAAAAATCAGGGACAGATGTCCGATTTTGTCAAATGAATGGGGTTTGTTTTTTGCATTTATTAAGATGGCTATATGGCTTTTCTTCTTTAGTCTGTTAATACGGTGTGTTACAATGATTGATTTTTAATGTAAAACCGAACTTTCATCTGAGGGATAAACCCCACTTGATCCCAAGGTATTTTCCTTTTTATATCTTGTTGGACTCTGTCTGCTAAAATTTTATTAAAGATTTTTATATCTGTGTTCATGAGGGATATTAGTCTGTAGTTTTCTTGTAATGTCTTTAGCTGGTTTTGGTATCAGAATCATAGTGGCTTAATAGTTTGATTTGGGAAGAATTTCCTCCACTTTAATCTTCTGGAGGAATTTATGTGTAATTGGTGTTACAAGCTGAACTGTGTCCCTGCAAACTTTATACGTTGAAGCTGATATAACTTGGACACACAAAGAGACGGGAGGGATGTGCACGCACAGAAGAAAGACCAGAAGAAAACACAGCAAGAAGGCAGCCGTCTGCAAGCCAAGCAGAGAGGCCTCAGGAGGAAACCAGCTTTGCCAGCACTTCGGTCTTGGACTTCTAGCCTCGTAAGAAGATGAATTTCTGTTATGTAAGCTACGTGGTCTGTGGTACGTGGTTATGACAGCCCTAGCAGCCTGATACAGCTGGTATTGTTCACTCCTTAAGTGTTCAACTGCATTCACCCTTGAAGTCATCTAACCTGGCGTTTATGTATGAAAATGTTTTAAAGTTCATGTTCAATTTGTTCAATAGATATAGGGGCTATTTCCAGTTGAGTGAGTCTGTGTCTTTCAAGGAAATTGACCATTCCATTTTAGTTGTTGAATGCATTGCCTTACATTCAATTTTTAATACCAAAAAAAAACCCCAAAAACCCTACAAATAAGAAAATGAAACCACGAGTTATTCTAAAAACAACAATTGCTAATGTTTTGCTGTATGTCCCTCCAGATAATTTTCATACATGTACACACCAATCCCTCACCACCACCTCCTCCTTTTCTTTTCTTTAACAAAATTGCTATTACCATTAATATCTAAGGTTTTTGTTTTTGTGTCATCAGTTTTTTTAAAATATAATTATGGATGGATGGTTAATAATTTGCTTAACTAATTCCCCAGCCTAAGGTGCTTCTGATTTTGGTGGGGGTGTGCGCATAAAGAATGCCTCAGTCATTATCCATTTTCATCTGTCTGTGGGAACAACTCAGGTTGGCATCTTGGTTTACGGTCCCAGAAGTGGAATTACTGGGTCGACCAGTTTATTATTGACTTTTGATATTGAGCACCCTGTGCTTGTGTGTTGGGGGTGGGAGGGCGGAAGGAAGTACTCATCCTCCTCTCAAGGGACCAGCCGAACCAGCGCAGCCGGTAGGAACGTGTGCCGAGAAAATGGCACAGGGCTGTTCAGAGGCTCTTGGAGCCCCGCTGCTCCCCTCCCCCACCCCCCACCTCTGGCCCACTGCCCCAGCCAAGGTCCCCGGGGCACAGATCTAAGGGGCTCCTGGTTACCTGCATCTTGGTGGCTATATCTTCAGTATGTGGACTGGACTGGGCCTTACTTCTTGGTTCTTCCTCCTTTGGAGTGAGTGATGTCATTAAGAGACTATGCAAAAATCGAAGCTAGAACCGAAGCCAAGCTTTGTGCAGGCAAGTGAAGGCAGAGACCAGCCTTATCCTCACATCACCACCCTCCGTTCTCAGGGAGCTCCCAGTCTGATGGAGCAGATGCAGCCCCTGTCCCATCGGGAACCCCTGGCTTTTTTGGAAGACACTGTAGTCCCTCTGTTCTCTGAAACCCCTGGTCTGAGTGCAGTGTCAAGACCCACAAGCCAAAACACGTGCAGGTGCCTACAAAGGACTGAATAAGCAAGTGGCAATCAACACCGTCCACGAAGGGATGTGTGCTGGATGCAGTGGGGCTTTTCTAGGATAACTTCTGGGGAAAGAGAAGGGCCTGGACCCACAGAGAAGAAGCTTGGCAGGGGGACAGTGGGAACTGGGAGGAGGGGACATCGACACGTGGGATTGGCCAGCCAGCTGATTTGGTCCAGCCAGAAGTGGAAGCTGGAAAAGCTAGGGGTAGGAAGGGATGCCCCTCGAAGCAGGGAGTGGAATGGCATCTCTCCTGTCCCTTGTCAGCAAGTTTGAGGACATTGGGAGAGAAGGGCCAATGTGAAGGTGGTAGGTGATTTGGAGTTTTCATCTCCAATAGTGCTCTTCTCTCCCCGCCCCCTTGTTCCCCTCCCACCATTTCAGTTCACCTCAAGGCTGAAGAAAGGCCTCCGCTTGGTAACAAACAGGTCTTTAACTGAGCACCTGCCCCACAGCCCACAACACCTGTTATCTGTTATTATCTGTGAGCATTTTTCTTACTCAGTGATGCCCAGTTATACCCGCCCTACAGCTGAGGACACAGAGGCCAGGGAAGGAAGCTATCTGGCTGGGATCTCACAGTCAGGAATTTGGGGTGCTGGGATTGGAGCCCCTATCCATGCAACTGCCCAAACCACCAGGGGCTCCCAGGACTCCAGCCCCGTCAGCTTCTCCCCAGCCCCATCTTTCCCGCACACACCACCCCCAGCAAGAGACAAATGGCATCAACCCCCGGGTCACCAGGATCTCAACCAGAGGTGACTGTGCCCGTCCCTCCAGGGCACATTTGGCGATGTCTGGAGGCATTATTTGGGGGGTAGAGAGGGAGGAAGAGCAAAAAGCGCAAGGAGAGCAAGGAGAAGCACCAGGTCCAGTGGTGGAGGTGAGGGATGCTGCCCACCCCCTAGGCTGCCTAGGACGGCCCCCACCAGAGAGGCCACATGACAGTGTCGCTGGGGCGGAGTAGCCCTGCTCCAGATCCCGCAGGCTCGCCCTGCCACGTGTGCGTGGGGGGCTTCCTGCCAGATGCATGTGTCTGTGCCCCTCCAGTCTTTGCCACATGTGGGCACCAACAGCTTGCAGGTGTGGGTGGAGAGTTCTCTGCAGATTCTGGACTACAGCCCTTTCAGACATGGAGAAATGCCTTACAGACAGGCGCACATCCCCAGGCAGGGCCTCCCCACCCTGCTTGGGCTCCCTGAACCCTTTCTCTACTAGGCCACTTCTGGGCTTCCGTTGCCCAGTTTTAGCAAGAATCCTGCTAAGTCAATTTGGCCAGCCTCCCTCACCCCCCCCACCCTCCCCAGGTGATGTCTGATCACCCTGGCCTGCCTTCGGCAAGAATCCAGTTAGGTGGGTTTAGCCCAAATCCACCCCTTGTCCTCTTAGTAATCTCCCGTCCATTGACCCTTACCCGCACCTCAACTCTACATTCCCACTTTTCTTTGTTGCACTTGGAGTTGAGTCCTGTCTCTCTCCCCCATTGTAGTGGTCCCTACACCTATCCAATGGCCCTTCCCTTTGAATAAAGTCTGCCTTGCTGGACTTCAACAAGTTTCATTGAATAATTTTTTCTTTGACATCCTTTTCAGATGGGAAGAGAGAGATGCGTGGGGGGGGGGCAGCTCCCTGTCAGATGCATCAACCCCCACCCCCTATAGTCACCCCAGCAGCGTGGGACATTACCTGGCAGCTGTGGGCAGGGCGGCGGTGGGTAGGAGGAGGTGGAGCCTCCTTTTTCTAGGCCATGTGTCACCTGCCTCCTGCCCAGGGGCATTGCCCCAGTACTAACCTGCCAGCCTGCGCAGCAACGAGAAGCTGGGGCGTGCTCCCCAGCGCCTTCGGAGCGGATCGAGGACCTTGCAAGCCCTATGTCTCTGGCCCCCCAGAAACCAGAACATGGCAGATGGGGCTCAGGCCAACCCCAAAGGGTTCAGGAAGAAGGTGCTGGTTAGACACCCCTCAGGGTGGAGGGGCCCAAGCCTCGGGGCCGCTTCTCCTTCGAGAACCTCCAGGTATGTGATTGCTTCCCCAGGATGGAACCCTCCGTGGAGAGGAGCAGGGATGGGGGTGGGCAACTGGTTCCTAGAATCCATTTCTCCAGAAAGGAGAGCTCTGAGTCTCCGATAATGGCTGAGATATGTCATATTTTCAGCACTAGAAGGGCCCTGGGGTCATCTAGCCAGTCCTTATAGGCACTTGAGGCGCAGAGAGGCTAAGGGATCTATCGATGGTCCCACGGTATTTTGGAACTAAAGCTGCAACTAGAAGCCAGGGACCCAGGTCTCTTGTCTCTGGGTGCAAGAGCCAGCCTCCAGGTTGGGTCCTGTGACTCCCCCGTGAGTGTATGGAAGGGGGTTGTTCGAATCTGTGACAGTGGCCTAATGCCACGAGATAGGGAGCTCCTGGTCTTGGAAGCTGAATCCTGCTCAGGGTGGGAGGGAAGGAGGCTCCCGCTGCCTCCTGGCTCTGCCATCCTGGGGGCTATTCCTCCCAGAGCTGCAGGCAGGCGAGAGGTGCCCAGATCTTCCTGGAGGAGCTAATCACAGGACAGGGGTAGCAGGAACTGGGGCAGCAAGGGACAGCGTTGATGACACTGACTGCGCCTGTCATGAGGCCTGGGGTGGGAGGAGCAGCAGGCCTGGAACTGCACACAGGTGGAAGGGATGGGCTCAGCCCCAGGATGTCTTCCTCTCTCAGATCTCGCCTGGGGCTGAAGTTCATCACCATCGTCCTCCTGGCCAGCAGCGGTGAGTGAAGGCTCTGGGAAACTCCTCCTCCGCCCCCACCCCCGGGCCCTGAGACCTTGGCCTGCCTTTCCTCCCCCTGGGCCTCTGCTTCCTGGCTCAGCCCCTGCCTGCTTCCTCCCCTCTTTGGGGCTGTTTACTCCTCCAGCCACCTGTAAGCACGCCCAGGACCCCAGGGCAGTAGGTAAGCATTTATAATTTACGAGCCTCAAGGGGGCAGGGCCCACAGCTGAGCAAGCATCCCAAAGCGGTGGTGTTGGCTGGGCATCGGGGCACCCGGCGACACGGGGTGGGGGGGTTGTGTGTACATAGGAGTGCGTGTTTGTGTATGTGTGTGCGTGCAGGTGGGAGCTAGTGAGCTTGCATGCGGATATCCGCGTATAAGTACGTGTGTGTGGGTGTGTCTGAGCACGCAGTGATGTCTAGGGGTGTAATGCACATCAGGAAGGTGTGTGAGTGTGCTCATCCCGGCGTGTGTGTCTCTACCTGCGTATATGAATGTAGGACGCACACATGGGCACACGCGTGTGTGTAGTGCTGTCTCGGGTGTGAGTGTCCTGGGAGACGACGGGGGGAGGGGTCTGGGGACTTCTTTCCTGGGGGTGGTGCTCCCAGGACAGGTGAGGCTTCTGACACACACGCTGGCACCCTGGTGGCAGGTGCCCCATGTAAGTGGAAGGTGGACGTGCCACTGGCGCTCGGTCCACTTGTTTAGCGTCTCCTGCACACCGCCAGGCTTGAGGCAAAGGGAAAAAATGCCAGAAATAAAATAAGGCCAAATGTGGCCAGACATGAGAAACTGTTGGTTGAATTCGGGCAAAGTGATCTGTTATTTAGAAAATAACCTCTTGGGTTCGGCCCAGACCATGGTGGTGAGGGGAGCAGACCCTGAGTGAACGCAGGTTTGGTCTCTTCCGCTCGGAGTGTGAACGTGGACGTGGCCACTCTGGGTGTGGCAGGTGTGTGAGTGCGTCTGTGGTGTGTAAGACTGGGAATATGCACCGGTGTGGGCCTGTGAGTGTGAGGCCTGTGAGGGTGTGTGTGTGATGTGTCAGTTGTGTGAGTATCAGCAACTACACATGTGAGGTTGGCAAGGATGAATGTGTGTCTGTGTGAGGTGTGCGTTGGTGCATGAAGTATGTGTGGCTGTGTGTTTGCATGTGTGTGTGAGTGTAAGATTGTGAGTGTGTGTCCATCCTGTGTGTGGGAGCTGATGGTTGGGGGCCCCAGGGATGGAAGCTGCCCCCCAGGGCCAGCACCTCCATGGCTGGGGGTGGAGAGACGGGGCAGGGTTTCCTTTGGGCTGGGGGATTGAGGAGGCAGGACCCCACAGCGGGTGACGTGTCCTGGTGCCCTGCAGGGATGTCTTTCGTGATGTTCTTCAGATTTGGGAATTGAAGTGGAAAAGGTTAAACAACCTTCCCCCGGCCCCACAGCACTAATGGAGAAATTGGTTTGCAAATCTGAGTCTGTCTGACCCGGCGCCTGCTTGGCACACACTTGACTCCAGGATCAAGGACCCCGCAGAGCAGGAGGAAGGGGTTGGGGGAGACCTAACATTCCCGGGGACCCCCTCTTGGCCCCCCTCTCCCAATTTTCTTCAACAGCCATTGCAGCCGAGTCTCCCTTGTGTGGCCCAGGAGACAGGCCAGGCCCCCAGAATGCAGGAGCCTCTCTCTCCCTGCCCCGGACCCCAACGTGGACCTTCATAGGCCCTAAACCACCCTCTTAAACTCATCTGTCATTTCTCCCTGCTCCTTCCTCGTTCCTGCTCTCACATGCTGCTCATTCTCTGTCATGATAAAACTCTCGAAGCCAAAAGACAGGAGGACTCAGGAGGAGCAGGACTCCCCAATTCAGCCCCCTGATGAGGAGGGCAGGCCTGGCCCAGCCTCCCCACGAGCCTGGAGAGGGGGCGCTGTGGGGGGAGCGAGGGGCTGCTGAGTGCCGGGCCTCGAGCCGGGCACTGGCCTGCCTGACCTCTGGAGGCTGGGATTGTTACTCCCATTTTACAGATGGGAAAACAGAGTCCCAGGGAACTTTAGTTCTGGGCCTACACCTGCCAGATTCCAAAGTCTATGCTCTTCCCAGTGAGGCATGTGGAGGTGGTGAGTTCCCGTCATCACTAGCGACGTTGGACAACCACGTCTCAAGAAGCAAGTAATCGCGGCCTTTGGGATTCCATCTGGCCTCTGGTTTCTGAAATTCTTGGCTTCCTCCCTCTCCTAGTACCTTCCCTCTTTCAGGCAGGGTAGGGAGTAGGGAGAGAGCAGGGGGCAGGGTGCTGAGCAGGGCACCCAGCCCTGGGCACAGCTAGAGGAGCCCCCAGCAGCGGGGGCAGGCAGGAGCCAGACCATGTGGCGGCTGGCATCCCAGCCCTGGGGCATACGAACCCACGTTCAGGTCTGGGCTCTGCCACTTCCAGGCTGTATGGCCTGAGCAAACCTTCCTTTCTGAGCCTCAGTTTGCTCATCCATAAAATGGAGAGAGAGCAGCCCTCCTGCCCGTGTTGGGGGCCTCACCCAGATAGGGACCTA